TCTTGCTTCTTGACAACCATGCTGCTCAGCATTCTCGGAGGCCCGGGAAGCCTCCTCGCATCATTTTAGCTTCAATGTGCAAGTGAATTCTTCTCTCTCTCTTTATTATATATATATATATATATATATATGTGCGTGTGAATTCTATTGACTTTTTTCTCTAATCAATTCTATAAAATGTGCGTGAGCGTGTGCGCATGTGCACGCACCTTCCCTAAGACTTTATGTTTGTTCCATGGAAGAACTTAAAACAAATATAAAATAAATAATTCAAATAATAAAAGCACCAAAATACTCAGGAATATTCAAGGTATTTTGGTTAAGGGAAAATATCTCCTTATCCCCTATTTTTAACTTTCATATCTGATGAGACTCAAGAATTGAAAAATAGTATTTGGAAGCAAAAAGTCTCATCTTTTCTATCTTAGAACCCCCTGGATCCCTTTGACTATAAATTTTTTACCCAAACAAACACTAAAATAACATCATATTCAAACTCCATCTATCTTTCTCTCTAAAACTCAATTTCTCTCTGCTCTTCTCGTTGAGTTTACCAGCCAAGGGGTTTAGCTTGAGCTCGAAAACGAGCACACTTTCTTATGTGTGTGAGAGAGATGGAGTTTGGGTTTTAGAGAGAGTTTGAGTTTTAAAAAGAGAGATGGAGTTTGAGTTTTAGGGAGAGAGATGAAGTTTTGAGAGAGAGCGATGATGATGTGGGAGAGAGAGAGATGGAGATGGAGTTTTGAGAGAGAGATAAAGTTTTGAGAGAGAGATGGAGTTTTAGAGAGAGAGAGTCATTTCATAAATTGTTGAGGTCAATAATATATGGTAAAAAAGGTTTAAGGGGTTGGAAAATAAAAAAGATGGAGTCTTTTTGCTTACAAGTAATATTTTCAATTCTTAAGTCTGATGAGATATAGAAGTTAAAAAATAAGGGATAATATGATATTTTCCCTTTGGTTAATATATGTTTGACAAATAATTTTTTTATGATACGTGAGATATGAGTAGATGCCCAAATCATCAGGCAAAACATATTGTAAAAACTAAAACAAAAACAAAAAAAATAAAGAGTAACACATAATTATGGTTGTCTAGTAAGCCATGATTAACTAATCCATTATGCATATTCTACTTCTAAATACAATCTGGCGAAGTTCATTTAATTAGGGTGTTAGCACTATAAAGCATTTTATGATTGTACTCAATAAATTTTGGGTACTTATATACCTTTGTTTTGTAATACAATATTTTTTAGTAATGTGTTTTTGGTCTTTAGAAAGGATGTGATATCATCCACATAGATTGTAATATCACCCATATGAAAATGAGTTGTCTACAATGAGATTATTTATCTTTTGTACATGGAGGTCACAATCATTCTTGTCTCTTAAATTTTAAAATGAGTTGTTGTAAGGATGTCAATGAATAGATACAAAATCTAAAAAAAAAAAAAATTCGAACTTCAGGACTTACCCAAGCTATCCAATATGACATCTAATGAGTGGAAATGATTATGACCTCCATGTACAAGAAAATAAATGGTCTCTTCGTAGACAATCCCATAATGTCTATGTGTTTGTGAAGGAAAATTGTTTCAAGCAATAGGGATCACATTTCTATATTTGTGGTCTCAAAAGTTGTCACACCCCAAGAATTTACAATACTATTATTCCTGAGATGTGACAGTCAAAACATATATACATCTCTTGATAGGACAAATTTACAGTGGCGAATTCTTACAAAGTAACAAAAGAAAGCTTAAGCACAACTACAATATCTTCTAAAGTTGATCCTGACGATGACTCAAAATGAAACCGCAGTTATCCTGAAAAAATGTTTACCATAGTTTGATGAGTTTGGCTACTCAGTAAGTGATCATCAAAATCCTAAAAATAATCATGACTGAAAGGTATCAATATTTTCAAAAAGGAGATCTATTAACAGAAATGCATCAACAATTTCACTTTCAATAAATGCATAATTAAGTATAATCCGAATAATTGAAATACAAATAACACTTTAACGGCAGTGCATAATTCAAAGGATTTCACAAAATACCCTACTAACGTCCCAAGTAGGTCACCTATATACCCAATCAGCGTTCTGATGGATCCACTTAATCCCTATCGACGTCCCAGATAGGTCCACTTAATCCTTACAGGTCCACTTATACCTCACCGGCGTACCGGATGAGTCTACTTAATCCCTACCGGCGTCCCAGATAGGTCCACTTATACCTCACCGGCGAACCGGATGAGTCCACTTGCATACTTAAAGTATTTCTAAATTTCTTTAAACATCTGAAAGCAGAATATCATGTACTCGACATATCACTGAGATCACTAATATGAATTTTACTGAAACCATTAATAACAGTTACTTTTAATAACATTTCAAAAATAACCAATCAAATATTTTGGGCTCAAATTTAGAAAGGTAACAGTTCGTAAAGACATTCTAGCATAATTGCCAATGTATAGAAAAACTTTTAAAGAAACTCAAGAATACGG